CCTTTCTCTTTCAGCAGCAGCAGCTTCAGCAGCTCTCCCACCACACATCCCACCTGCTGCTGGCATCCCACCCCTCCAGCCCGAGCGGGGCCAGCGGCTCCACGGGGCTCCTGGCACTCCCGGGGGCACTGGTGGCACAGACTCCGCTGGCCACCAAGGAGGACAGAGTGGCCCAGGATAGGGAGAACAGAGGTAAGGGGAAGAAGCACCCCTGGATTAACCCTTTGAAGGCTGGCTGAGTGCTGGGCAGAGTGTGCAGGGCTCCTCAGTGCTGCTCCCCGGGGTCAGGAGAGGCAGCTCGAGGTAATGAAATACCTGCACCCTGTGAGTCTGTCTCCATTTCTGACCCGGAGCCACTGCCATGTGGTGATGGTGTTTGGCTGTCTGCACACCCCTGGCACTGGGCAGCAGAGCTCTGGGTGTGTGTGTACTCCAGGTCTCCCTGCTCTCCTGGGTGTTCCCAGTGCATAAGGGTCTCCCAATCCATGAGGTAGCTCAGAGAGTATGAGGTCCTGGGAGGGTTTGCTGCAGTTCCTAATGGTCTGATCTGGCTGGTGAGATTTCAAGGTGGTGAAAACAGCAGCAGAAGACAGTTGGTGGCTGCTCTGCACCCCTGCACACGGCTGTCTGCAGTCGGAATTCTGTCCCTGTTTCTTTAAGGATGGCTTCCCCGAAGGAGAAAATCAAACTCCAGAGGATAAAAGCAGGCTGTGCTGTGCTGAGCCTGCTTAACCCTCAGAGCCCAGGCAGCCTGTGCCTCCAGCCAGAACTTCTCTCAGCCCTGGTGTCTGGCCATGGTGAAGGTGGAGAGACACCCGTGATAATTCCCTACAGAAAAGGGGGAATGCTCCATCTGGCTGGGGTTAATCCCCTGTGCCCTGCCATGGTTAGCCAGAGCTGGTGTGAATTGAGCTGAGCCAGGGCTGGTGCCAGGCAGTGTTGCCTTTGAGTGTCCCTTAGCTCCCCATCCCTGTCTGCCTTGTTTTGCCAGCAGAGATATGGACAAGCTCGTCCTCTCCAAATGCTGGTAGATCTTTAGGAGTGCAAACCAACCAGGGAGGGTTGCTGGACCCCAGCCCAGTGGCTGGGTTTGCAGCAAGTGCCTGGCGCCTTTTCCCTGGGCTCAGGGAGGTGGACCTGTTTTGTTGTGCACTACAAAAGCCTCAGAGTGTCCCAAGCAGAGCTTTTAGGCAAGGCTTCCTAAGGAAGTAGGATGGGTGTGACTCAGGAGGTCTCAGCTGCCCAGCCAGCTCGTCCCCTCCTGGCAGCTTTGGACCTGTCACCACATCTAGGCAAGAGATTCCAAAGCTAGAGTAATTTCTTGGGAGTGGGTGGGTGGATAGAGATTCCCCTGCTCCCCCAAAGGAGACCAGTGTGCTCACCTCTCATTAGACAACAGAGAATCCACACTTCAGGTGGACAAAGTGGGAAACTGGGTGTGAGTTTTGAGCCTGTGTCCCACTGTCTCCTGCAGTGCCCCCTCTGCTCCCTGCACGGGTACCTGGGGCACAGCCTCAATACTAACAACCTCCTCCTCTCCTCCCTCTGCCTTGACTGCCTGGACACTCTCCCTGCTGCTGCCAACTCCAGAGCACACCCCAAGCCAGGTAAGTCACGATGGGCTGGTGGCCTCAGCTGGCCCTGTTGGCATCTCCAGCATGTCCCAGGTGGGAAGGGCTGGGGATACTGGGCGAGCTCTGCTAGCCTGGGTGGGCTGTTTGCATTGGGGGTTTGTAGCTGAAGCTTCTGGGCTGCCTCAATTCAGTCTTTGCTGATGCAAAGATCTAAAGATCAAGGTCTGCTCCCAAAATAACCAGCTCTGTCCTTTTTTAAGGAGTTTCCAGTTTAGGAGCCTCTCTGAACAGGTCTCCTTAGTAAGCTGAGTGCTGCCAGCCCCTCTGCAGCCCTTGGCTGCCCTCTCCTTTTTATGATACCCCCAGTCCCAGATCTGTGACTCCCTTCCCAGGCTCCACAGTAGCTCTGCAGTATCCAGAGCTCCAGCTCCTGGTACAGGCAGGGGAAGGAAGGGTTAACGAGCTTCTCCACTGGGGAACAGTTGGCATTGATCTTAGCCTTGCAGTCAGGTGGGAAGGGAAGAAGGAGAGAAGGTATCTGTGTTGTGCAGGGAGGATCACCCCTGTCATCCCTTCCCTACCCAGATGCCTCCTCCAGAGATTGCCCAGGGGACAGGGAGCATCAATTCTGCACCCTGGCTCTGTGTGTCAAAACCATTAATCTTTCTTTGCTGGGAACAATCAGCTGCAGGGAGCCCTGGAATGGGGCACGTTCTCCCTGATCAATCTCCGTCATGAACAGCTTTGGACAGCAATCCTGGCAAGGTCAGGGGGCCATGCCCTGGCCCAAGCATGCTGGCAGCTCTGGGAGGAAGGAAAGGCTCTCTGGGCAGCCAGTGCCAGCCTGGTGCTCCCCTGCCTTGCAGAGAATGGGGGGCTGCCAGTGGGAGACACCCCTTGGCTGGGGTTATGTGACACCTGCAGCTGCCAGCAGCATCTGGGCAAGGGACGTTTGTCCTGCTTGGCCTCATCCCACTTCCCAGCCTGCTGGCTCCCCCGCAGCAGGGTGAAGGTGGAGTAAACACAGCTCTGATGGGGATTTTCCACTCTGCCATGCCTCGCTGTCTCCGCAGGGAGGATCTGCTCTCCAGCCAGGCTGGGGATGTGCCTCGCTCAGCTCCCTGTGTGCTGGTGCCTGAGCTGCATGTCCTCCTGCTCCCCATCACCATCACGCTG